GTTTTACTGTCATAAATAGCAGAGGGAGTTCGGTAGGTTGGGTAACACCTTTATTTGCATAATCCAGTTTAGATGCTTTGTAGATACTTAATTAACTTTCATATTACATACAAATAAATATCGGATAATTGATCATCATTTTCTTTAACTCTAAACCTGCTCTAATTCTAACCTTAACCCTAACCTCAACATTAAACCTGGCCCAAATCCTAACCCTAACCCCACCACTGTTTAGTTTCAACAGATAGTTAGTTAACATTTTGAACTTCTGTAGATCATCTACAGCGGACTATAGTGGACCATCCAAATAAAGTGAGACTGTAGGTTGTTCACGCCGGATAAGTGAGGTAAAGTAAAGATAAGTAACGAAGGCTGCCTCTTCAGATGAGCTAATGCTAACGCTAACCGGTACAGAATCTGATGCTGAGGAGGACTTGTCGTCTTCTATGCAAGGTTATTTCTCCTCAGTGTGTGATGTGCCAACATGTTATTTGTCAGAGAAATTTAGTTTCACTGTTTCTAGAGCACCTGTCCAGGGTGTATCCTGCCTTCCGCCCAATGACAGCTGGGATAGGCTCCAGCACCCCACCGCGACCCAGAAGGACAAGCAGTTTAGAGGGTGTGTGTGTGTGTGTGTGTGTATTTCTAGAGCAGCTACATCGGCTAGAGTAGTTAGTGAAAAAGCCTAGTTAGCAAAAAGCATCTGCATTCGTTTTCAGGCATTTGTGTATTATAGTAGCGTAGTGTAACTATAAATCGCTGCTGTCGGAAGAAAACTTTGTATCTCCATTTTTGTTGTTTTTTAGTTTTTGACATAATCTGAAAATGCCTGTTGTTCTTTACATTGTATGTAAATTTCATGAAGGACCAAAGCAAATGACCCAGAGTGACTTGGAAAAAGTCTGGTTCCATTGAGTTACATTCAAAGTGAAGTTACCATTTTGGAGATAAGAGGTTTCGTTTCGACAGCAGCGATTATACGTTTATTAATATGAGCAACAGTGACATTTTACAGCCCTGTTAAAACGTGTAAGAGCTGAGTTGTTAGCTTGATTAATTTCTCCATATTCCTGTAATGAGACATACATACATACGTCATCTAAACCGCTTATCCTTCTGGGTCGCGGTGGGGTGCTGGTGCCTATCCCAGCTGTCATTGGGTGGAAGGCAGGATACACCCTGGACAGGTCGCCAGTCCATCGCAGGGCAGACAGACAGACAGACAGACATATACAATCACACACACATTCACACCTAGGGGCAATTCAGCATGTCCAATCAGCCTGACTGCATGTCTTTGGACCGTGGGAGGAAACCGGAGTACCCGGAGGAAACCCACGCAGACACGGGGAGAACAGGCAAACTCCACACAGAGAGGACCCTGGCCCTTCTTGCTGTGAGGCGACAGCGCTACCCACTGCACCACCGTGCTGTAATGAGACATAAACACCTGAAAAATGATTTCAGTTTTTTTAACCTGGCATCTCAAATGGTTCACAGAGTTCACGAGTACTCGTGCGCATCCCTCGAACCAAGCAGTTTTACTTTTATGCTGCAATGACACAATAGAAGCTATACCCCCCCCCTGCATTTCCTGTTGCATGAATGTATGAATATTATACACATTATAAACCAAAAAAAAAGGTTCTTCAGTGGTTCTTTAGTAAAGACGGTGGTTCCGCATAGAACCATGAACACTCAAATAACCATTTGCATGCTTAAAGGGTTCTTTGCATTGTGAAATTGTTCTTCAGATTGATGGTGTGTTGTATATGGTTCTTTTTCGATTGTTTGAGCAAGGCCATTTTGGTTCCCTAAAGAACCATGTTTGGTAAAGAGATTTGCAGGTGCAAGGAACCTTCACATAAATGTTTACCAATGTACCAATCATTACCAATGTAATGATTCCTTCTAGAACCTTTTACATTATGTGTAGGTTCTTTAAGCTTGTAATCTCATTTACAAAAATAGTTCCCCAAAGATAAAAAAGGTTCTTTGGGGGACCAAAAGTAGTTCTTCTAGGGCATCATGCAAAGAACTCTTTTGGCGTAGTTGAGTGTAGTTAAGTTTCGGATTGTTTTTAAATGTGATTTTATAACGTTATAATACATTTTGTTACTAAAATACTTCAAAATACAAATTTAAATGGTAAATAAAAATTTATTAAGTTATATGTGAGTATAAAGATATAAAGATATGTCAGTTCTGTCATAGACACAGGTGATGAGGTAAGGTTAGCTATCTATCAGGCTAAATCAAGCATCCTAACGGGCTGCCCTTTGGCCTGCAGGCCTCAATTTGGGCAACCTGTTATACCGTCTTATGGAGCCCTTTTACTTTTTGGCAAATAATAAATAAATCAGTGACTAATTGACTTTTTTTACTAATGGCTGCAGCTTTACTGCTTAGTGCGCTGATTATCTGATGCTAAAAGAACAGAGAACATTTTTCATCAACAATCTGAAAGAATATATTAATGAGAAACAGAAGTCAGTGGACGCAGCGGTCACACGCTTCTCCATGACGATGACAGCGTAGATTTTATTCACCATTTTACAATCCGAGTCAGAAGAGAAGAGAAGAGAACAAAAAGGAAGAGAGAGCAGAGACTGTAGTGGAGGGCGAGCAGATGTAATGGAGACCAGATGACATTTAATGTATGAGGTCACTAAACATGCCTTCATCCTGATCCGCAGCGCCGTGTTACCATGGCAACAACCTTTTTTTCTGGTGGCGAGCGCGTTTAAAAGCCGACGTTTCTCATGAACGTTGTTCCATCGCTCTGACTGTGTGAAACGCTCTCCGAGGATTTGGCCATATTTACGGCAGTTTATGGACGTGAATGATGTCATTTAATAAGGCCACCCAGAGACTGTATTACTTCATAATTTCCAAGTTATGTAATTCTCCATCTCCGATGTTAATTGCTTTTATGAACGGTTGCTTATGTTCTTTCCATAACAGCTGCTGCTGCTGCGAAAGGTCCTGTTTGCCTTTATGGCTTTGGCTGAGTCGCTCAGGAAGGGCAGAAATTCAACCAGAAGCACAGAATAAAGCAGCCCAGCGCTGCTTATGCGGTTTCCCAGCTCAGCCGGCCTTGTTTTGAATTCATTTCACATCCAGATTAGAGGCGCGTTCTTTCACATTCAGACCTGTGGGAGTGAAGACGCGCGTCGACTGACAATACACACCTTTCTCATTTCACACATTAGAGTTATCACGCGTTTCCTCTGTGTTTGGGATCCTGTGGAGCTCAGACCCTCTTTAAAACCAAGCTTAACCCTCTATTGCACGATGTTGCCTCAGGGCAACAAACTCATTTCCCTCACTTTACAATAACATTATACATATTTAAAATCAATGATAGGGTTAACAATAAAGGGAAGAGTTTGAGTACGTCAGAAAAAAAAACGTGGTCATACAATTCTTTAAACCTCTTTTTATACATTGAGTATCAATTTTTTTGTCATGAGTTTTTGCAGAAATATGTTTGTTGCCTAGAAGCAACACTGTGCGACAGTGGAATGGATTTAGCCAGTCACAAGCCAGGTCTCACCACTTCAGGGAATATGGCTCTATATCATTTCTTCCCATTTTTGCACAATGTTGCCTTAAAGCAACACTCCAAAAGGACCCTCGCACACATTTTTTATTATTATTATTATTATTATTATTGTTATTTTAGGGCAGCACGGTGGCGCAGTGGGTAGCGCTGTCGCCTCACAGCAAGAATGGCCTGGGTTCGATTCCCGACCAGGGTCCTCTCTGTGTGGAGTTTGCCTGTTCTCCCCGTGTCTGCGTGGGTTTCCTCCGGGTACTCCGGTTTCCTCCCACAGTCCAAAAACATGCAGTCAGGCCGATTGGACATGCTAAAATTGCCCCTAGGTGTGAGTGTGTGTATGAATGTGTATGTCTGTCTGTCTGCCCTGCGATGGACTGGCGACCTGTCCAGGGTGTATCCTGCCTTCCGCCCAATGACAGCTGGGATAGGCTCCAGCACCCCACCGTGACCCAGAAGGATAAGCGGTTTAGATGACGTATGTATGTATGTATTTTTAATGTTTTTGAATTTAATAATCAGGTCCAGAAAAGTTTTTTTTTTTTTTGTTTTTTTTTAATTGCTCTCATAATGTGTGCAGTAGAGGGGTAACATGGCTTTCAGCATCCCCAGCTATGAAACATGATTAAGTGTTATGGGTTTCCATAAGCTTTGGTTGTCTGATTGGTGTTCAGGGCTCTAAACTGGGCATAGGTGCTGGGTTCTCTACCACTAGTTATATAGCGACGTTATAGACCAAAGCAGTGAAACTGAAGTTAATGTACAGTTTAAGCTTGGATGATGAATTTAGACAAATAGTTATCGTCTGCAGAGTCACGGTAAACGATATCGCTGTGATCTGAATTCAGTTTTAGAGTAACCCCACATGAGCATTACAGAGCCTTACTCAGTAGCTTGCAGTTTAACTTAATGATAATGTTATTAGGGCTGGACACGAATATTTGACTACTCTAATATTGGTTCATTGGGGAGGTTTTTGATTTTTAATTTTGAGATTTGAGACCTCCCCCTGGCTGTGATTGGTCCTAATCACACCCTTGTTTGTTCTGAGACCTCCCCCTGGCTGTGATTGGTCCTAATAACACCCTTGTTTGTTCTGAGACCTCCCCCTGACTGTGATTGGTCCTAATCATGCCCTTGTTCGTTCTCAGACCGCCCCCTGACTGTGATTGGTCTTAATCACGCCCTTGTTTGTTCTGAGACCTCCCCCTGACTGTGATTGGTCCTAGTCATGCCCTTGTTTGTTCTGAGACCTCCCCCTGACTGTGATTGATCTAGAATGTAAATCAAATACGTCACTACATAATATGATTTTGCATTATAACAGCAATAACTCTGAACTTCAAAAAATTAGGTCAGTGAAAAAGAAGATTCATTCTCTCTCTCTCTCTCTCTCTCTCTCTCTCTCTCTCTCTCTCTCTCTCTCTCTCTCTCTCTGTAGTAAACTGTATCCAGAGGATGAGACGGACTCCTCCGCTGGATGAGCTGCAGCCGCCGCCGTATCAGGATGAGGACGGGTCACCGCGGATGTCGTGCACACCCTCTGACCTCGGTGATGCCAAGTGTGATCTGTCTCACGGCAGCAACAGCCCACAGCACAGCTACACAGCGAAGTGCCCCAGTGAGGGCAGCGCGGGTCACGACACCGAGAGCTTTCTCAACAAGGGCTACGAGGAGGACGTCCCCAGCGACAGCACCGCCGTGCTCAGCCCAGAGGTGTGTATGCGTGTGTGTTTCATCCCTGAGTATTTCCAGTAAACTCACTGACCCGTCAATGTCCAGATGTCAGATCAGAAATTTCCTATCTTCTTTGAATCTGAAGATTTTTTTCATATTGATCAAACCAGATAGGTACAAAGTGAGTTTTTATCACTGATTTTATCATTTTAAAGTGCCTTTAGTTACACAGGACTGCTGGTTTTTAACAAACCAATAGAAAATCCAAATTTAATGGTGAATATGAAAATTGCACATAATCAAAAACAGTCAGATGGTTTGGGATATTTACCCAACATGTACAAATACAAATTTTCATCACTTTAGACCAATCAAAAGTTTTTTTGGTTTTTTTTTGGTTTTTTTGGGGTTTTTTTTACCTTTTTTCCTCTCTCTGTCTCTCTCCCTCTGTAGGATCTCTCTGCTCGTGGTTCCGCCGCTCACCTGCCTAAAGGTTATGAGCCGGAGCCGTTGGCGCAGTTTGGGACACTGGACGTTGTCTTCGATTACGACTCCTGTGATCAGCGCCTGGCCGTCACGGTGACCGCAGTGACGGACATTCCTCCACTGAAGCGCACCGGAAACATCTCCTGGCAGGTACGGCTGCACCACATACCGTTTATTAATCAGTGTCACGGAAAGCTGCAATATGCAAGTGATAATTCGTTGCTATATGTTCTAGATTAGGTTCCCCAGATGTTTTGATTTTAGATTAATTAACAACAGTAAACATAAACATATCTCAAAAATGGGTCAAAATATGGTCAAAATAACCAAACTTTAACTATCAGAGGTTCATCTCTGATAATCTCTAGATAGATAGATAGGTAGATTGATTGACTGGTTGATTGACTGGTTGATTGATTGGTTGATTGATTGACAGATTCTTTGCTTCTCGAGATGACAGTGAATTTGCCAAGCACTATTACATCAACAATAAGGGCAACAAAATGTGAGCTAATGTTATTAGCATCTAGGCTAGCCTCCACATAATAACTAGAACGTTATTGATGTGTTCATAGTGTCTTTTCTTGCTCATACCATAGAAGCTCTGTCTGATTCCACACATAATTTCATGTAATTGTCGAGATTTTTGTGAGTGCGCAGAACAGTGAAGTGATTCATGTCAGCCAGTGAGTTATGCTAACTAGCAAGCTGGGTAGCTAATTAACCAAATAAGATGCTTCTTATTGACATTAAATACCCAAAAATACAACAACGTTATTAAACATAGTTAATATGATAGTTCCACCTCTCTCCAGCTGGTGGAAAATGAACTAGAACTAGAGCCGTAAATTAGATCTCGTCTGAATCACTTGCTGTTGTTAAATGTGCAATAAAAAACACCCTAAAACAAGCAGAGTGGTTGCAGTTTGGTGTTTTGTCCATTCTGGCAGGTGCACCTGGTTCTGCTGCCCACCAAAAAGCAACGTGCCAAAACAAGCATCTCCAGAGGCCCCTGTCCCGTCTTCACCGAAACCTTCCGCTTCAGCCACATCGAGTCGGAGATGATCAGCAACTACGCCATCCGCTTCCGCCTCTACAGCATCCGGCGGATGAAGAAGGAGAAGATCCTGGGAGAGAAGGTGTTCTACCTCACCAAGCTCAACCTGCAGGGCAAGATGTCTGTTCCCGTCATACTGGACCCCTGCTGCAGTATAGCAGTGAGTAACATGGACGGATGGATGATCACGAATCTCCAAAAATGTATATATACACACCAGCTGGACACTTCATTAGATACACCTCGCATCTACACTCTTTGTCCATTTTATCAGCTCCATTTACAGACTGTAGTTTTTCTGCATACTTTGTTACCCTGTTCTTCAGTGGTCAGGAGCCCCACAGGACCCTTACAGAGCAGGTACTATTTGGGTGGTGGGTCATTCTCAGCACTGCAGTGACACTGACCTGGTTGTGGTGTGTTAGTGTGTGTTGCGCTGGTGCGAGTGGATCAGACACAGCAGTGCTGCTGGAGTTTTTAAACACCTCAGTGTCCTGTGGGCAGCGTCCTGTGACCACTGATGAAGGACTAGAGGATGACCGACACAAACTGTGCAGCAGCAGATGAGCTATCGTCTCTGACTTTACAGCTACAAGGTGGACTGACAAGGTAGGAGTGTCTAATAGAGTGGACAGTGAGTGGACACAGTGTTTAAAAACTCCAGCAGCACTGCTGTGTCTGATCCACTCACACCAGCGCAACACACACTAACAGTATGTACGCTATGTATATTTATATGGTCTCTTAGGGCAGAAGTGATCTCTTAATGAGAATACACGTGCAGGGACAAGGAGGTAATGTTTATTTATAATGCATGTAATGTGTTCTTTACACACTCACTACACATCTACATGCTAAACTGTTTTTTTGGAGACTTTAGCCATGCCAACTGACCTTATATCCCTACTTTTGAGCTCTGCTTTCACGAGGCTTTGAGTCAGTTGAGAAATTTCGTATGGGTGGTCCCCAGATGTCCCCAAATCTTGTCTAACCCTGCAAGACTAGCAGATACCCTTTCACCAATTAGCAAGGTGCTAACTGTTTGCCTAAATCATCACATACTTGTCTCAAACTGTGTGAAGGTGTTCAGTGTCTCTAACAGACTTGATTTTGTGGTTTCTGGCACTCTAAGGCCCCGTCCCATTTCTTCTTTTTACCCCTACCCCTTGTTTTCGAGAGTCACCCTAACCCCTTGGAACTGAGTTCCAGGGTAGTGGTTGAAATCTTCCTCTGAAATGGGACCCTCAAATAAAAAGAGCATCACTTCATTAACAGCTACCAGCGCTGCTCTGTAGGTGACCCAGCCCGCCTTCAGTGACAGCAGAGGAGGGTAAAGTTCAGCTCCTCACTGCTGGGCTTTAGTTACATTTAGGGCATCATATGCCTTCAAAGTGGGGGGCAATTATTTATCACCCACCCCTAATTCTTCAGTGATATGAAGCTGAAGTCAGATATTCACCAGATTCTTGTTCAAATTTTCCCGTTCCACCTTAAATGGTGCAGCAGTTACATTCTGGCGCTTCAGGCGTCAGGACTGCTGGACTATTTAAAGTGGAACGGGAAAGTTAGCTAGCTAGCTACCAAGACATTAGTATGCTATTAGTGATTTTTTTAAGTTTGTTATGAAGAAAACGACCAAAATACACTGAAACGACATTAAACTAAGATAAAACAGTGGTTTGTTGTGATTTTTTTTTAACAGAGAAAATTCTCACATTTGTGTGTTTCTTTGGTCTCTTGTTCTCCATCTGGCTGGTTTTTCTTTTTTTCTCATAACTCTCTGTTTGGAGTCTCTGAAAAACCTCTGTTTGAAAGGCCATGTAGCCCCAACACTTCACCCCACCCCTCTATCTCAACAAGAATTGGGACACCCCACCCCCTAGACGTGAACGCGCCAAACGTAGGGCTAAGGGCTGAGTGGTAGGGGCGAGGGGTGGAATGGGATTGGGCCTGTGACTCACTGTTATCTATAAACATGGACTGAAGTACATTAGCATCACTAAAACTTGTTTCTTCAGTAAATTTGTTCAAAATGTATGTGTGTTTCAGGGCAGCGAGTCTCAGGCGAGCGTATCTGACGCATCCTGCACTGACACTGCCTCATCGTTCCAGTCAGCCGGTCAGGGCTCAGCTCCGGAGATCCTGCTGGGCCTCGTGTATAACGCCACCACCGGCCGCCTGTCCGTCGAAGTCATCAAAGGAAGCCACTTCAAAAACCTCGCTGCCAACAAACCGCCCAGTAAATACATCATTCAACAGTTTTAATACAACAGTTCTATTGAAAAGGACAGTAGGAAAGCTTCTCAGGACATTTTACCACACGTGAAGTTTCCCGGTTGTTCTTTGGTTTTGTTTTTTAACATGATTAGGCATATTTCGTTCCTCCCCAGTACCAAACAACAGACCTCTGAGGTTGTGCCATCATTTTGTAGTTCACCGTTAGCATCTGGACACGCCATTAGTCTGGATTTTCTCTGTGGGGAAAATGAATGGCGTTTTCTGAAAATTGCCTCTCTTGCACCCTGTGGTTAAGAGAGAAGTTTAATTTGGACCGGGCCAATACAATGTGCCCTACATATATTCTCCCTTGAATATCACTTTTTCATTTTGAGTGAAAGTAGTCAAAATAGGAATATGTGAGGTGCCTCCACAGTCTGCCAGGGAGATGCAGTGGGTGCTGAGCCAGTTGTAACAGATATTATGACATGCTACATGCAAGCTGACACTCATGTTCATGTAACAGACATCATACACAGCAAAGATGTGTATCTTAGCAGCAGATTAAGTAACCTTAATCTTAATCTTTAATCTTAAAATATTACAAATATTTCTCATTTGATAGATAATTTCATGATGAATGGACCAATAGAAGTGCTTTACAGTTGCTTGGAATAAAATATCTCTTTCTATTAACTTACATTGAAAGTAAAGAATGTTTTTGCCTTCTCCTGTAAAGGAGAATATATATATATTTATGTGTGTGTGTGTGTGTGTATATATATATATCATGAAATTTACACACAATTTAAAGGACAACAGGTATTTTCGAATTATGCCAAATATATATATATCGCTGTAGTAGCTTTACTTCATGCAAGTTAGTGCTGTTAACTCATTGTGCGATAGTGTTAGCTTCCACATAGCATTTCAGCTTTGAATGACTACATAATTTACATAATCCCATCAAATTAATGGGACAAAACATCGGCTTTGGAACAATCTTGTTCACCACGGGGGGCAATAGTGACACTTTTCAACAGGAAAACCAGCTTTAGACCCAGAACTCCTTATTTGAGCACTTCACCAACTACAAAACGGTGCAGAGGTCTGTAATATGTTGCATCTCCATCTAACAGACTTAAAAAGGGTTAAAAAGGCACAAAATAAATAAAAGAGGGAAAGGAATAAACAAAGGGAGGTTAAGGCTTCTCTCAAAAAGTGAGGAGCTGCTGCACCTCCATATCCTGCTGCAGTACACAGTTTAAATCAGGCCTAAAGTTCCTCAAGCTGCTTATTTCTGTTTATTTATTTCCCCAAACCCCTTTCTGTTCACCCGTCCTCACTGTTCCCTCTGTTTCTCTCTCTTCAGACCCGTTTAAATATGACCTCAAACTGCCTCATCAAGGCTTCGGCCGTGCTTCAGTCACAGAGCGCTGCATAAGGGCTTCATGAGCCTTCACAGAGCAGTCAGAGCGGAGCATACATGCCTTTATGAACTGTGTAACCTGTCATAGTGAACGTGGTGTTTAAAGGGCCAGTATCCTCATAAATTGTCCTCGCCAGAGTTTCAAAAGCTGCAGAACCAGGCTGCTGTTTTTGTGATGTCACTAAAACCAAGGCATTTACATACACCAATCAGGCATAATGACCACCTCCTTGTTTCTACGCTCATTGTCCATTTTATCAGCTCCACTTACTATATAGGAGCACTTTGTAGTTCTACAGTTACAGACTGTAGTCCATCTGTTTCTCTGATACTTTGTTAGCCCCCTTTTACCCTGTTCTTCAGTGGTCAGGACCCCCATGGACCCTCACAGAGCAGGTACTATTTGGGTGGTGGGTCATTCTCAGCACTGCAGTAACACTGACGTGGTTGTGGTGTGTTAGTGTGTGTTGCGCTGGTCTGAGTGGATGAGACACAGCAGTGCTGCTGGAGTTTTTAAACAGCTCAGTGTCACTGCTGGACTGAGAATAGTCCACCAACCAAACATATCCAGCCTACAGTGTCCTGTGGGCAGCATCCTGTGACCACTGATGAAGGACTAGAGGATGACCAACACAAACTTTGCAGCAGCAGATGAGCTATCGTCTCTGACTTTACATCTACAAGGTGGACTGACAAGGTAGGAGTGTCTAATAGAGTGGACAGTGAGTGGACACAGTGTTTAAAAACTCCAGCAGCACTGCTGTGTCTGATCCACTCACACCAGCGCAACACACACTAACACACCACCACCACGTCAGTGTTACTGCAGTGCTGAGAATGATCCACCACCCAGATAGTACCTGCTCTGTGAGGGTCCATGGGGGTCCTGACCACTGAAGAACAGGGTAAAAGGGGGCTAACAAAGTATCAGAGAAACAGATGGACTACAGTCTGTAACTGTAGAACTACAAAGTGCACCTATATAGTAAGTGGAGCTGATAAAATGGACAATGAGCGTAGAAACAAGGAGGTGGTCAGAATGTTATGCCTGATTGGTGTATGTCAGCCTATAGTGGTTTAGCTCCGCCCACCCTCGCTGAAGTTATAAGGAGTGTTTCAGCTCAGTCTGCATTTTGAAGGAGACGCAATACAGGGCAGCCAATCAGAGCACAGCTCACTAGCATGGTTGAGGTGAATTATGAATGAAGGTGAACTATGACCCTTTTTGGTGTGTAAATTCACACCGGTGTCCTGAGGGGATCTGGGCCCTTTAAGAGTCTTCGCCGAATGGAAATGTCTGACATTCGGCATCTATAACAGCTGCTTATGAAGGCATTATGTGACGCGTATGAAGGCTGTGATCGTCTCTAATGCAGAGCTCTTAATTCTGAAGCGCCGACTTCTGCTTTATGGACACTTGTTGACGCTAACCTGATGTGATGTCACTTAACCTTTAACCTCTTGACCTGGTCTCTCTCTCTCCTATTGTTGTTTGAATGTCTCATCTCCCTCTCTCTCTCTTTCTTTTTTCTCTTTTCTCTCTCGCTGTCTTTTCTCTTTCTCTCTCTCTCTCTCTCTCTCTCTCTCTCTCTCTCTCTCTCTCTCTCTCTCTCTCTCTCTCTCCCTCTCCCCCCTCTCATTCTCTCTCCCTCTCTCTCTTTCTTTTCTTTCTTTTTTCTCTTTTCTCTCTCGCTGTCTTTTCTCCTCTCTCTCTCTCTCTCCCTCCCTCTCTCTCTCTTTTCTTTCTTTTTTTCTCTTTTCTCTTTCTCTCTCTCTCCCTCTCCCTCCCCCTCTCTCTCTCTCTCTCTCTTTCTCTCTCTCTCTCCCCCCCTCTCTCTCTTTCTTTTCTTTTTTTTCTTTTCTCTCTTGCTGTCTCCCCCCCCTCTCTCTCTCCTGTTCTCTTTTTCTCTTGCTTTCTCTTGCTCTCGTTTTTCTGTTTCACTCTCTGCTTCTCTTTCTTTCCCTCTCTCCCTTTTCTCTTTCTGTCTCTCTCTTCTCTTTTTCTCTCTTTGTCTCTCTCATACTCTTTCATCCCCCCTTTCTCTTGCTCTCTCATCTCTCCTGCTCTTTCTTTCCTTTTTTTTCTTTTGTTTATTTGATTCTTCCTTTCTTACTTTCTCTTTTTTCTTTCCATTTCTCTTTCTCGCTCCCCTCTCTCTCTCTCTCTCTTCATCTCTCCCGCTGTCTTTCTCTCTCGCTCTTACTTTATCTTGGTGTCTCTCTTTCTTTCTTTCGTTTTTCTCTCTCTCTCTTTCTGTCTTTCTTTCTCTTGTCTCTCTCTCACTCTCTCTCCTCCTCTACCCTCTCTCGCTCTCTCTTTGTCTTGCTCTGTCTCTCTTCCCTCTTTTTCTCTCTCCTTATCTTTGTCCCTCACTCTTTTTTCTTTTTCGTTCTTTCTGTCCCTCTCTTTCTTTCTCTCCCTCTCTTCTTTTTCTCTTTGTCTTTTTTCTCTCTCCTCCCTCTTTCTCTCTTTCTCTCTTTGATCTCACTTTCTTTCTTTTTTCTCTTTTTTTTCTCTTGCTGTCTCTCCTCCCTGCTTACTCTCTCTCTCACTCTCTTTCTCTCTCCCTCTTTCTTCCTCACTCTTTTCACACTCTTTCTCTCCCTTTATCTATCTTTATCTCACTCTGTCTGTTTCTCTCCCTTTTCTCTTTCTTTTCTCGCTCTTATTCTCCCCATCGCTCTGTTTCCTGTGTTTTTCTCCTCCTTTGTTACTGACCCCCTCTCCCTCTCTCTCTCTGTCTGTCCCCTCATTCCTCTGTCAGATGGATTGTTCTGTTGTCTAAAGCACTTGATAGGTGGGCAGGTTTATATTATCAGAGGTGAGTTTTCCTGCTTTCGCCCTCTAACTGTCACTGTTGGACGTTGATAGTGCACGTCATTCTCGTAGTGCCACGGTTCTGTTTCCTCTTTTTTCTGTTCCGTAGTCGTCTCTCTGTTATTTTTCTGTGCGCTGGTGATTGTAGTGCAGTAAGTGTCTCTGTGTGAATGAGGACTTGTTTGTCATGTATCAGAGTCTGAAACCTCACACTCTACATTCTTTACCCAGAGAATCACAGCTGTCGCCAGCAACAACAGAAGCTCTGATCTTATAGAAATTATTTCTGCCTCGTAGTTTCACTGAAGCGAGTGGAGAATCTGTGGAAAGTGCAGAGGCCAGACCACATTAGTGTCCGTTACCCTGCGTTCACACCGGCAACTACTTTTCGCCTCCTGTCACCCAAATCGCTGATCGCTAATCGCCTGTGTCCGTTTCTGAACAACTGGCAGTTGGTTGCCATGGTTTCACTGACGCGAAGTACAAATCAGATCAGAAATCGCTTATTTAATGCCTGTCTTGCAGTCAGTATGTGAGGACAACAGTGTTTGGTCCTTGTGATTACTGTCTATTTGAGGTGAACGCAATTCCATCTCTAGTAGGAACAGTTATCTAGGAACCAAAAAATGGAGCGTGCCGTTTCACAGTGGCGGAGATAAAGCGTGTACTACGCTGCTCAATGCTTAATTCCTATTGGTAATCGCCACATCGCTTCGCTCCTTCAGTGTGTCCCAATTCAGGGGCTGGATCCTTCGAAGGACACGGTCTCACGCTGCTTAGACCCACGAAGGCTGAACCGAAATGAGACACTCTGCCCTACAGTGGATTTTCTGTTTGAGTGACAGCACCGCTGTTCCCGCCCTCACCACTGCGCCACGAAACGCCACTCCTGTCAAGTTCTTTTAAAGTACTTTAAAGACGGAATCAGAAACTTTTTTAGTTGTTTATTTTTTCATTTAGTAGAGCTGGAGATGCTTCACCGCCGGCTACTGATGAGATTGTTTTTTGGTTTTTTTTTTTTTGTTTTTTTACCTTTGTATCGTTAGCCATTCACCTCAGTTTAAACCCAGTACTTATATTTAAACCCTTCAGCCGCCGTTCGCTCCTCTGCTGATGCCGCCATGTTTCGAATCCTCGCCGCCACACAATGAACCTCAGGATATGTTGGCTGGCGAAGGATCCACCTGTAGGACACATTTCTCGGCCGCATATGAAGGAGACGAAATGGGACAGTCTAGCAATCGGCCTTCAAATGCAGCCTCCGAAATGGGACACACTGCTTATATGCATAAAGTTAGACTCTGCTCAACTTTGTTGCGTCACTGACTCCGCCCACTTCGCACCGCCAATGTTTACACTGCCTCCTGACGCCAGAAATAGCCAGCTCTCATTGAAAATAAGTGACCTCCAGCCGCCTTGTCGCATGGCATCGCTGCTGGTGAGAACGCAGGATAAGTGGAAGAGGAGATATTTTATTAGGATTTGAATTATGATGGAAAGTTATTGTTTTACAGTCATTTTTGCTGAAAGAAAAAAACATCAACTATATTTTTCCACTTCTGTTATTTTTTGATGTTGAAACAAACAGAAATAAGTCAGAGGTGGAGACTCCAATATAAAATGTAAATCAAATGTGAATATAATTCACCATGTGATTGAGTTCAAAGAGTTTAATAACATGACCGTTTTAAACTCTGATTGGCTGAGCCGCATTCAAAGCCATTATAAAATACTTGATATACACACCTGTGGTGGCAGTTCTATATTAATTAACTACATTGCTGGGTGGAAATTTTGTTTATTTCAAATATCATCAATAATGAAGTCAATTATTAATTGAACTATGGTGTATTTTCTCATATTGTGTATTGCTGGCATTTTATGAAAGCAGTATGAAGAGCTTTACAGTATCTCTGCTTCTAAGGGTGAAGACTCGCCATAAATGCAATCTAAATGTCTCTCTTTATATTGCTGGAGTTGAAGGATCCCTCAAGCCTCACTCTTATAAATGACAAACAGTCTGTAGAAGGTGGATGTGTCTGCATGCTCTCTGTCTCTCTACAGCCCAAACAAAGCCATAAAGATCAGGGTGACTTCCAGTCACGCTGACGTCATACAGATCCAGTGCGTCTGCAGTAATAACAGAGTAAATTTCTGGATTTCTGCATGAAGTGTGTTACTTGAACACACCGTTTGTTTTCAATCTCCCATCCCGTCTGGTTTCATTTGATTTTGGTGATGCTTTTTCCCAGCGCTGCACTCTTAAGTCTCAGAGTTCTTTGGAGTGATGCCACATTGCATTTACATTTACGGCATTTGGCAGACGCTCTTATCCAGAGCGACTCACAATTTGATCAGGTGAAGGTGAAGGTAGTGTTAGGAGTTTTGCCCAAGGACTCTTTTTGGTATAGTGTAGGGTGCTTGCCCAGGCGGAGGATTGAACCCCAGTCTAGGGGGCAGCGGTGTTACCCACTACGCTATACCAACCAACGTTGTTCACCAGCCCTGGTCCTGAAGCTCTACCTTCAGAGTTTAGTCTCACCCACAACCAGCCACGTCTGCTCCAGCTAATAAACTTCTTCAGAAGTCCTTGATTGCCTGGATCAGATGGATGAGTGATAGCTGGGGGGGCAGCATGTTAGATACAGGTTGGAACTAAACTCTGCAGGGAAGTAGATGTCCAGCAGGAGGGCTAGTGACCACTGCAAAAGGAAAACCACTTTTGGTTCTGTAAAATACCTTTTAATGAATAGTTCTTTGCAGTACCACATTTGTGATCAAGATGTGTTCACAAAAGTGTGAAGAACCTCTAAAGGTTTTATACCAGTTTAGTGGCGAAGCAGGACTCGGGCCTTCATCTAAATCTCTGTCACAGCAATACTCATTTTTGCTAGATCCTCTATGGGGGTTGTAATGTTGGCACTAAGCTAACAGTGGTGCACATTAACATTTTATCACCATTCTAGATTAACCACAGACATTCGAAGCCGTACGTTTTTATTTGATGCTTATAACAGACATTAGCCTATATTTGACCTTGTAGTTGTTTTGACTGACTGAAACCTGCCGAACGAATTTGGTCCCACCAAACATGATTGGTTGATTCCTCTGTCACTTTCCTTTTTTGCAGTTCAAGATTTTTACTTATCAAGTTTAAATTAGGCTTCCACTAAAGGCTAAGAAGGCCCTGAAGGTTCCCCTCTGCCAATCATTTACCTACACTATTAAAAAGTGGGGCTAATCAAGTGTTCTTTAGTAAAAGCAATGGTTATATAGAACCATGGCAACTCAGAACCGTTTGAATGCTAAAATATTTATTTGCCTGGTTAAATGACTCTTTGCGATGAATGAGAACCTCTTGTATTCTTTAAAGCTGTTTCTCAGCCCTGTTCCTGAAGGCCCACTGTCCTACACACTTTAGTGCGTTCCCTGCTGTAACACACCCACTTTAATTTAATGATGGGCTGATAATGAGCCGATTAGTTGGATCAGGTGTGTTGTGAGTAGAACTGGACAATATGGCAAAAATATAATATTGTGATAGTAAATTTTCATGATGCACAATATGTCACAATATTTCTTTTTTCAGATATCGGATCAGTTGGAACAGAAAAAAGAGCCAGCAGTGCTTCATTTAAAAAATACTATCAAAAGCTGTGAACGCAGTGATTTTTATCCAGTATTTTGCACTAAATCCAGGTAACAGGACTAATTTTGCTCAGTTTATAATGAAACATGCAGTTGATCAGTGTCTACAGGCACTGACGATAAACACAATATGCTCAGAAAACTACAGAATTTAGCACGGTAATGATATATATTATCATATTGCACAGCACTATTTGGGAAGGGCAGTGGCCTACAGGACCAGGATTGAGTAACACTGCTTTAAAGAACCTCTTTTAAAAGATTTTAACTGTTATGAGTTACAAGGGATCCTTTTTAGTACTTCTGCAGATCCCTTTTTGTTAAGAGTGTAGAATTCTACATCTAAGCCTGTAAACATTTAGAAACGTTTCATGTTAAGATTGTATAAAACATTTAGATGATATGGAGACTCTTTAAAAACATCCTCACATCTCATTTTGCTTCGTGAAAGAATCTTAGAAAGGCTCTTTAGGGAACCGAAGGTAGATGTTCTATGACAGGGGTATCCAAACCTTTATCAAAGAGGGCCAGATTGTACTGTGTCAAAATACCTGAGGGCCAAACTATTATTCACAAATTATTCAAAATATTACGTTTTCAAAATATCAGCGCATAGAATCTGAGCTTTCTGTGAGCTGCTGCGTTTCCTATCACTGCATAAAAGATGCATGAGGCTTCTTTTACTGTTGGATTGTTCAATCAGAGCAGTTTGGATCGATAAGCGATAATAACTAATTAAATTGTTTAAGAGTAACAGTACAACATGTCTAATCATATTCCTATTCATGTGTTTACTTGTTGAGACATATACTTTGAGACAAACTAAACAGAAATCTATACGTTTGGTTTTGTTACGTAATGTTCTTTACATATCAAATAACCGCAGCGCAGCCACGTTTTTGTTTGACCTTAAAGGGTTAATATTTACTGAACTACTGAATTTGCTCTAAGACGTTTTCCACCTCGCCGAAATCGGCCGTTCTCAGTGTTTAGTTTGAGCTTTATGTCTGTAATCTTGACTAAATGTAGTTCAGTAAATGAAGCTGCAGGTCTGGTCAGCTGCCACCATCAGGCGAAAGGAAGAACTGCAAAATATTGGCTGGCAGACAGCTTCAGATACACTGTAAAACAGAAGCCAGGGGCCAATTAAAATCTGTCTGCGGGCCACATTTGGCCCTGGGGCCGGACTTTGGACACCCCTGTTCTGTGGCATCTCTCCAAAGAGTGCTTTAGTGTTAAGAGTGCTGGCGAGTGAACTTTAGCTGTTTCACAGTGAACGTAGAGTCCTTCTATATTTAGATGCTGCCATTGTGGAACTACTTGGAGTAGGTTGGAGAAATTGGATGCATGAAAACTTATTTTTTTAATTTCCTGGCGCAAATACAGCATTGTTATACCATCAATGCCTAAAAGCTGAAGCATTTCCTCCACGTCACAGTTACAGTCGAGAAGACCATCTCCATCTCTCTCCGCTGCCTTTTTCAGATTCTAACAATGGCTCATTCAATAAAGCCAATCACTCGTGCTTAATCACCATTCAGTCCCTCCAGCTCTCATTTAGGCCCGTCAGCATGAGGCCCATTACTGCACTGCGTAACCACTTAAGGTGTCAGCAGAAGCCACTTTTTTCTCTCTCCTCTGGAGACGTGCGGAAAATCAGGGCCGCTTGAACGGGGCTTTTATGTCTGAGAAAAGGAAAAAAGGAAACGATAAAGAGCCAAACCTTTCTCCCCTTTATCCACAACACAGAGAGAGAAGCTCGCCCGAACAGTGGCTCCCATTCAGAGGCGCCATAGAAGTGTGGCTGAATGTCGTCTGAATGCAGCTCCTCCTTCTGCACTTTCACCTACGCTGCTGGCTCCAGTTGGTTTTTTATGTTTACAGACAGTAAAAGAGGCTGAACGGTGGCAGAACTCGCCCGCGGATCAGCGCTCATTGATACGCGGCTGCGTTTGATAAAAAGGCGGCTGAATGGATTAATTTAAGTGAATGGATTTCATAATGGAGCAATCAGACGCTTTTCAGTGAAGTCGAATGTGAAAATAAGGTAATTGTTAATGATGTATGGTGAGCGACCTCGTGCGTGATGTCACCAACGTTTTGTCTTGCAGTTGCCCCGCCCCTCTGTACTCCAGCTCGCTGTCCCGCACTGCTGAAAACAAAGGGGTTTTTCTCTGCTATTACATGCATGGTGCGCTTGTGCTACTTCATTTCTGAATGCGAGGATTTCTGACCTGTTCCTTGTTGCTAATGAAAAACCATATGCTAGGTTTTCGGAGCACAATCGGACTATATAAGCGCTCAAAAATCAACAGTACGACAACATATATATTTCAAAAGTGACATACATATATTGAAATGGCCAGCGTGACCAGTTTAAGAGTGCATGAAGGAAATTCATCATTTTTTTTAAATACCTATTCGTACAAAAATTGTGGCGTGCTAGCTATTTTTAAATTTTAATTTTCTTAAATTTACATTTGTTGAAATGGAATTTAATACATAAATTTGAAAATTAAGTGTACTTTTGCTTAAGTAAATAATACATTTGGAAATTTGTTTGACATTTTTTAAAACTTTTATTATTTTCTGTTAGATTTTCAGTTCATTTTTTGAATGAAATTTAATATTAAAATAAAAATTAAACGTTTCATTTACTTAAAGTAAAAATAAGTGTTTAGTAAGTTAATAAGCACATCTGGAGATCATTTTCCTCTTTTTGTTATTATTGCCTTGTATCTTTTATTATTAGTGTTACTCATTATTACCGTTATTATTTGTATTTGTTATTCATTTACTTGTGGTATTTTTTTATTTAATTAGATTTTATTTATTTATTTATCTGCTTCTTTTTTTGTTTACTTATTTGCTTTTTTAAGCTTTACAGTAACTCTTGCTCTCCTTTCTCCCTCCTTCGCTGTAGACACGTACGTAAAGTTGACTCTGCTGAACTCCATGGGTCAGGAAATGTCCAAGTGTAAGACGTCCATCTGCCGCGGTCAGCCCAACCCCACCTATAAGGAGACGTTCGTGTTCCAGGTGGCGCTGTTCCAGCTCTCTGATGTCACCCTCATCCTTTCTGTTTACAACAAGCGCAGTATGAAGCGCAAGGAGATGATTGGCTGGATCTCTCTGGGCCTGAACAGCTCCGGGGAGGAGGAGCTAACGCACTGGACTCAGATGAAGGAGTCGAAAGGACAGCAGGTTTGTCGATGGCACAGCCTTCTTGAGTCCTAGAGTCGTGGAGAGGAGGAGGAGGAGGACGGAGGTGAAGAGAAGCGACGGAGAAAAGCGGAAAATAAAAGGCAGGCCACGCCCACGCCTGACCCTCAGCTCGCCTGAGCTGGCCCTCACAGCAGTGCATTATGAGGAAGTGTGAGTTTTGTTAGGGGGCGACACCAATCTCTGCCCTAGGCATTATGGGAAACGTAGTTTGGGTCAGGGTGAAAGCACTTGTAACCCCGAGTTCGGTCAGGGAAATGGCTCAAGGGTTGGAAACTTCTTGCCTTTAACGGAGCGACCACGTAGAGAAGAGTTATTTATTTATTTATTTATTTATTTATTTATTTATTTTCTCTGTTATTTGTGTTTTTGTGTACCTTCAAAATGATTCTGATAGCGGTGGACGGTGGGGAGAGTGAGCGGATCAGTGATGGCATTTACCCGCCAGAGATCCACACGACTGTAGCCATGAGGCCGTTCAGTTCGAACAGGAAGGAGAGAGAGAACGAGGGATGACGGTCTGTGTCCTATGATTTAACCAGGTTGTTTAAGCACTACAGACATCAAAAGGGGCATTTCCTCCTCAAACCTGCTACCAGTCGGCATTAGACGTTTTAAAAAGCCCTTCGACTTACAACAGAAGCTATTATTATTAGTGCGCTTTAAGTTATTGTGTTTTCTGTTCTTTCACCAAGTACAGGGCAGTGCGTCACAGTTATTGTCCATGGTAGTTGACCGTGAGCTACATATGCGGCAGATAAAAGTTGTAAAATGAAAACATTCTTCTTTAACATTCACTCAGTCATTCCTCGCTTTTCTGACTAATCATTGTGCTTTGTTTTCCATATAGCTTCATGTAGCTCACATATAACATGTGAGCACAAAAAGAAGCAAGTTTGACTGTTAGTTTGACCCATATTGTTAACATTGAAAGTACAAAGCAGTGGACAGCTGGTCTAACTGGCCGTCACACCTTATATGACCAGTCAGTGTTGCTTGAACTTGACTGTTGAAGTGTTGAAGACTGACTGTTGTCTTATGTCCTCTTCGACGTCTGTTCTGCAACTCCAGTGATGCACCGATGTGAAATTTCTTGGTACAAGAACCGACAAGTAACACCTTTTTCTGGCTGATACATACAGTCATATGCCGAAGTGTGAACACCCCTGGTTAGATTACGTGTTTTGTTGGTTTTCTATGTGAAAATAAGTTAAAAACATCCTTTACAGAGAACACACCTAAATGTGGCCTTTTTTCTGCCAATTTTAGTGCACAATTTCTCAATTTAACGTATTGGAAAAACAAAATATAAACACTTGCACAAGCCACATCTAAGTTTTTTTCCTCAATAGGATAAATTCTGCAAATAATCAGTAATTGTCCATTAAAACATAAAGAAGTGTGTTTTCTGTAGAGATTTGATTTTGACCGGGGTACCCAAACGTTTGCATATGTCTGTATATCAATAACCAATTATTTTAACGTTTTACATTAATATATATACTGCTATACCAAATTGAGAATGCCAAAATAAAAGTCCTTAGGCAAGGCTCTATAAATATTATATTATGTATAGCAGTGGTCTGCCTATGTGGTTATATACAGTTGTTGTGGCTGCCAGGAGATCCCTTATACATGAGGCTATGGTATCGTCCACTATGCTGTCCATGTTTGGGTTTGAATTAAGGGAAATTCCCACCACTACTGACCAGAGTTTCCGTTTCAGTCAGTAATACACCCGGAAAAATCCAGCCATGAACACAGAACATAAAATAACGTTAGCGACAGTATCAAAAGCCAACGAACATGTTTTGTTTAGGAAAGGCTTCTTATTTCACTCGGTGGAGGAGGTGCGTATAGATAACTTTCATCATGTAATAACAAAATGTGTTTTCCACAACAACCAATATAGACCAGGACTTTACCCATCTGTCTCACACATGTGTCAGTGTGCAAGCTTTTTATTTAACCTTTAAATCAATCAGGCAAGTCTTTAAGAGTGTTCCAATTCTTATTCACACTGGTGGCCTGGCAGCAGGAGCTGCTTGAGGGAGATGAAAACACAGAATCGGATTAAAATAACAACAGAAAAGCAACGAACAAGACTTAGACGTCATAGTCAGTTATACCACAAAACAAATAAATAAATGTTGACAACCTAAAATGACAACAGCAACGACTGATACAACTGCAAGCCAAATGGTTAATTAACGGTTGTAATTATCAGCTGTAATTCCAGCATCAGAGCAATGATGATAAAGCCTCCGATACATCATGCACCACCTTAACACTCACATCTAGCAACATGTGATGTGGCACTTAATTAGGTACACCTGTAACCCAATGTTAAAAACACTCATTATGTACTGGCACTTGATTGAGAACCACGTTTAATTTGTCCAGTGTTTTCTAATAATAAGCACAAACGCTTTATCCCTGATGGACATAAATAATACGCTCTAATGACTTTTAATGCTAGGAGACAAAGTGTTTCGAAGGTCAGTCTGCGTCTGCTTCGGTTAGCACAGTACCAGGACTTTTCACCGCTCTGGGTCCAATTTCCACAAACCATTGTTTGCAGAAAGATGGTTTTGCTCTACTGTTTAATGAAGATTTATTACCCCATGATGGTTTTGCGGAAAGTCTGCTGCATTCAAAGGCTCCTCTGTTCGGTTAGTTTCTTTATTCTTTAATTTATGGATGCGGCTGTGCACTGGAGAGCACTTTATGGCTGATGCACATGCTCCCTCAGACCGCGTGTCTTATCCCCTCAGGCTTCGTTCACCCTCGTTCGCATATTTCTAAAAACACATTTGTTCCCATCTGCTTTCAGAAAAATCCCCTCCACACCAGCAGCGTCCACAGGAGAGCAAAGACGCTCACAAGGAGGATTGTCAAATGTAGAATGCCTTAAAGGGAATGTTAAGAGAGTGTTACATTAGGTTAAAGAGGACGTAGCAACGTGTTGCAGACCAACACAGTGGCTCTAAAACTATGAAGAAAAAGAAGGGGTTCATATTCGTGGACTGACTGTAATGATAACGTAAGGCTAACTACAGTAAACCAAACAGAAACAATCCTGATTATTAGCCATACCAGGTACAGAGTTTTAATGCACAAACAAGAACGTGCACAGCTCCCAAGTGGCACAACCTTCTCAGCTCCCTGTTGTCGGGGGATTGTGAGTTCAGTCTCTGGCGATGCCACAGCCTTCCGTAACCAGCGGTACAAGCGATCATAAGGCCCAATCCCATTTCACCCCTTTGACCCTACCTCTTAGCCCTTAGCCCTCTGTTTTGCGCGTTCACGTCTAGGGGTAGGGTGAAGTGTTGGGGCTACATGACCCTCCAAACTGAGGTTTTTCAGAGACTCCAAACAGAGAGTTATGAGAAAAAAAGAAAAACCGGTAAGATGGAGAACAAGAGACCAAAGAAACCCACAAATGTGAGAATTTTCTTCATTTCAAAATCACGATAAACATCGTATTATCTTAGTTTAATGTCGTTTCAGCGTATTTTGGTCGTTTTCTTCATAACAAGTATAAAAAATTGCTAATATCATGCTAATGTCTCAGTAGCTAGTTAGCTAACTTTCCCGTTCCGCCTTAAATAGTCCAGCAGTTCTGACGCCTGAAGCGCCAGAATGTAACTGCTGCACCATTTAAGGTGGAACGGGAAAATTCAAACAAGAATCTGGAGAATATCTGACTTCAGCTTCATATCACTGAAGAATTAGGGGTGGGTGATAATAAATAATTGCCCCCCTCTTTGAAGGCATATGATGCCCTAAATGTAACTAAAGCCCAGCAGTGAGGAGCTGAACTTTACCCTCCTCTGCTGTCACTGCAGACTGGCAGGGTCGCCTACAGAGCAGCGCTGGTAGCTGTTAATGAAGTGATGCTCTTTTTATTTGAGGGTCCCATTTCAGAGGGAAGATTTCAACCACTACCCTGTAACTCAGTTCCAAGGGGTTAGGGTGACACTTGAAAAACAAGGGGTAGGGTTAAAAAGAAGAAATGGGACTGGGCCTAAGTGTCCTCTCTTCTGGGTGGGTAGGGTGGTCCTCCCTCTCCTCCCATCACACAGCGCAATGTTGGCGAACACGGCCGTCTGTTAGCTGATGTGAATTAGCAATTAGGCTACGTTCGCATTACAAGCCTCATTGCTCAAATCCAATTTTTTGCTCAAATCCGATCTGTCTGACACGATGGTTCACACTCGTTTGGGTAAGTGATTCAAATCTGTCCTGAAATGACCCTCATGAGCTCATCCTACTCAGTAACGTCACGTGAATGAATCACTGCATCATCAGCACAAACTAACGAGCAGAACGAGCTTCGCTGAGAAGATCATTAACTCTGATCAGCTCTCAGCTTCATTATTAGAGCGAGACGAAGGAGAAAAAGGTGAGATGAGTTGCTTTTCCACCGTTTACAGGCTTTAACTTCTGTCTGGCGCTGTTGCCATGGTAACGCTGAATGATGGTGCAGCGCAGTGGAGAAAAAGCACATGAATTCAGATCTGAGCGTCACATTAAGGTCGCACGGCCAAGAATTGGATACGTATCCAATCTAGGACCACATATGAAAGTGGCTCAGGTCAGATTTGTGTGTCCACACAGCTCTGAAAATATTGGCTCTGAATCACATTTGGGCAAAAAATCTGATTTGTGCCACTTCAGCCTGGTAATGTGAACGTAGCTTTAGTGTCCTCCTTCACGCTTGGACCGTTTCTGTTGCTCCATTCCAAAATGTTCAGAAAAGTAGAAAGTACAAGTTTTTTGCACGACGGCGACGATATGATTACTCACTGACTGACATGTTCACTGATTTGGTGGCAGCCAGCAGACACTTGCGTATAAATCACCTGCTGAGAAGCCCACAGTTTAAAAAGGGTCTGCTTTAAACATGAGTGCTGAGTTTAACAGGAAGGCTGAGCAGTTTAAGATCTACAAACAAGGTTTTCTTCAGAGACAATATGCTGTTAACAAGTCAGTCAAAAATGAAAATCAGTACCCATAGCTTGACTTCTCTGCCAGTTTCTGAATATTTTTACAGCACTTTCTTTTAAAGTACACTCAAAGTGGACGTGGCTTAAAGCAGGACTGAGTGTGGGTCGCGTTGGGTGTATTTACTGACTGTAACGGATCTTATGAATTTCCAACACTCGGCAGGAATTGGTGTGAATTCGGTTTGTACCATTAACATGTTGAATTTTGATACCAATCTCGGACGAATTCACGTTGAGATCCCCTTTCAGTTAAAGACCAGGCTCTGGCCTTGTGGACAAACAGTATAAACTTTTTATAGTGACCACCAAATGATAGTAAAACGCTAATGAAACTGAACATAAAGCAGGATTTCCTTCCAGCTTTAATGCTGGAGCCTCAACACCAACACAAACTGTTTATGAGGTTTTGTGTTTTTTCACTGCAGTTTGTTTGACTACATTAGTTAAAGTCATGGGGAAAAAATGTAAATTAGATTTTTTTTGCCAAACCGTCTCTTTCAGCAGACTCACATGGGATGTAAGAGAAGTAGACTGGCTTCTTGTTTAGTAGTTGCTTTTGTTCTTTGTCACAATCTCTTAAAACTGTTCTGGATTTTCTTTGTTTTTTGTTTCGTTTTCTCGAGCGACGGTTAAGCTCGCTTATTGATTGTTACGTACTGTAAATGCTCTAAAAGAGTTTTCCTATCTATTTTTGTACTGATGTTTAAGAAGAATATGTGTTATGAAATGTTACAAAGCTCTGTGAGCAAAAATGGGTTGTAGACATTGGTTCTACTTTTCAGTTTGATTTCGGATTAGCCTGTTCATTCGTTCATTCGTTAAAGTACGGATTGATTGTGTGCTAAATGCTACAGAATGACACAAGATCCAAACTCAGTTAATTCCCTCAGTGTTTCTGTCCTGTTCCTGTGATGTGAGATAACAGAGAGAAGATAAAGGCAGCGTGAAGGTGCAGAGAGTGAGAGCG